CCCCCAAAACCCCAAAACCCCAAAACCCCACTATCTTCTAATAAATAAAATCTAAAAATGTATTCTTTCGTGGGCTTCTTGGCAGTAGCGGTAGCTGTGGTTTTGGGAAAGGATGGGCAGGGGGCTGGGAGAGGACTGGGAGTGTCAAGTTCAGCGAGTGTGTGTAGGGCGTGAGTGATGGGTAGTGGGCAGAAGTGGTGTACTGGTTCTATTGAGCATGGGGTTACTGAAGGAAGTTGATGCACTTCTTCGGATGGTGCGGATTATTGTAATGATCAAGATTCAAAGTTTTGCTCAGGTAAGAACCCAGAACGATCAGTTAAAACTAGGTATAATTAATCACACAAAATTTATTCAAGTCAGATAGCCTAACCGAAACTAACATTTTTGTTCACAAAAGTTAAATTTTATAAACAGATTTTAGCCTTTGTGGTCTTTTAGGATTATAGAATTAAGAGAAAATTATGCTCTTGAATTTAGAGAAAGATTTAAAATAGCTTCAAAGTAGTTTAAATAGAAGGATAGGCTATTTGTTTATAAATAAAAGAAGTAAATAGACACAACATTTAGGAGAAAAGATAGAGTTTTCTAATGATTTATCTTTTCAGAGTTTTTAAGCATAGGAGGAAATGATTCCTATGATCTTAATTACACCAATAGATCTGACAACTTCTGATGGTTATCAAGAAGGTTTGGTTCTTTGCCCAATGTCAATGGCAGATTGAGGAAATACCGACTTCCTAATCGAACACCACGAGCAAAGAAGTATGATGATCCGGCTGAATATTCCTCAAACCTCTCTTTGCAGCTATAGAATACGAGGGAACAAAGGTAGTAACACTGACATGAAAGTTGAATTACTTCAATCAGAAGGTGTTCAAGTCTCACTTGTTCATAAGACTTCTTCTAAGAAGATAACTTTCAAATCTCTTCTAGCAAAAGGAGGATCCTTGACATTGTCCTTTGGGACTTCCAAAGAGATCTTTGTGGTAGTAGAGCCGCAAGCCGCTGTTAACCTATTCCATATGGCCTTTACAGCTGAAGATAATGGATTGTAAGCTTAGCAACGGTTTTATTTATCTTTTGTAGTGATACAGGTCTTAGTACTTGGGCAATCTTAGGAATCACAGCAGCTTGAACTGTTTGCTGAGGAGGAATTATTTTAGGCGGAATTTACATCTACTCCAAACACTTCCTCTCTTCCAAAGGCCGACTCCTCCACCCAATCCCACCCGCAACCAACCTAACCCCCCAAAACCAACCCAACCATCCAATTCCAACCCCATCAGACCCCAATTTCCACCTTCAAAATCCCCCAATCCCCACTGGTAAGCCCATTTTCCCCAAAACCCCGCTCAATTCCCTCTTAAACCCGACCAGAACTCCTAAAAATAGAAGAGGTCTAAGAATCTGATAAAATTTGTGCTGAGCTCTAGGCGAAGAGTAGAATAGAACCTAGTAAAAAATGACAAATTTGAACTTGAAATTTGTCATTTTGAGAGGAATTTTTGAGAATTAAGGGATTTTTAGTGTTGATTTTTGGGAATGAGGGTGACCTGTTGATTTAGAAAATGTGGAAAGGTAACACAGATGATGAGTTTTAGATCGTGTAATCAGATAGAAGTGAATTCAGCAGTGGGAACTCAGATAGGGATTCCTATTAGGGATTTGGAGGGAACGCAGCAAACGATATCAAGAAATTAATAATTTAGGCTAGAAAGAAGTTTAGCTGATAGTATTGAAAGAGTAAGGTTTAATGGGGTGGTACTTGGTATTGGAGAGTGAGATAGACAAAAGAGATTTTGATTTTTCATAGAAAATACACTTTAGCTTATTTAGAACATACCTTGATAAATTAATAAAGCTGATAATTTCTGAGCATCTTCAATAATCTAAATACTCCACGGGGTTTTGGGGTTTTGGGGTTTTGGGG